GATTGAAAAATTTTTGGCAACTCATATTAAAATCGAATAAAAATCGAATAATCGAAAAGTTGACAACTAATCGATTGGAAAATTTTTGACAATTTGTAGCACTAACTGTAAGGTCATTTTCAAGGCAAAGACCCCACCTGATAAAATTTGCCGAATGATTTTTCGGCCGATCCGGTTAAGTTATTGATTTCAGGAATAAATATTCAATAACAGATATCAGATATACGTAATTTAAGATCAGGCGAAAATTGCCAAACGCTTAGGTGTTAGCAAATCTTCTATAAGTCGGGTTCCCAAGCACTTTCAAAGATTTCCATCATTTTCAAAAAAACCACGTTCACTAAACACGAACGATATAAAATATCTTAAAAACCTTAACGAAAGAAAAACCTGACTGGTATTTGTATGAACTACAATCGGAAATAGAACTTTGATTGGATATAAATTTGTCGCATAGCAATTTAAAAGTTGTACACCGACTTAGATATACACACAAGAAAGTATTTTATATATATCTATATATTTTTATTTATATTTCTTGTTAAATTTTATTGGTTGAAAAGAATAATCTTTTTCATGAGTTTCCGTGCAAACTAAACATGTCGGGCAAGTATTAAAACGAAAATCTAATAATGTTGAATGTAGGGTTGTTAATGGAGTACTCCGGAGTGGGTTATATGTTTTACTACCCTAGTTGAGTGTGTCGACATTATAATGATAAATTATATTATCCGACACGTCCTATGTGATTACTGAATGGTTTTCATGTAACTTATTCGGTCACCTCCTAATACAATATGGGTGCCGTCAAGGGAAAACCTACACTCGGGTTTTCAAGTATATTTTGTGCCGTCTATGTACATCTATAATCGGATATAGATTTACCATAGACATAACCAACTGTACACAAAATTTACTTGAAAGCCCGATTGTAGGTTTTCCCTTGACGGCACCCATATGCAAAGTTCACTAACCTCTTACAGTAAGAGGTGAGTGAATTTGTATTAGGAGGTGACCGAATAAATTGCACGGAAATCATTCAGTGCTTACGTCAGACATGTCGAATACCAAAGTTATCAGTCGGGTCTTTAGTAGATGAATCATCGACCCGACTGATAACTAGTACTTACATGTATTATGAAAATATATATTTTTTATATACTGATCATGCCGAAATCAATAATTAACCGGATCGGCCGAAAAATCATTTGGCAAATTTTATCAGGTGTCCCAGAAATTACAAAAATAGCTGTAATGCACGGAATTTTTGCAGAAGTTGTTTTTGTTACGGACGGAATCGGCTATCTATCACCGCAGAAAATCATCGTCCCTGACTCAAGTGTAGTTCTGTATAGGGATGGCATGTAATTTAAATCACAATGATAAAAATCACTGATTTTTATTTTAAATCAATTTAAAGCAGATTTAAATCATTTAGTGTTGTGTTGTAGAACAATATGTCTGAGATTCTGTGGATTTGAAAGTCGCATTCAAAGTCAGAATTTGAATATAAAATAGTTTGATTACATAATAAGAATTAATGATTTAAATCATTTGTAAATCATTTTTAAATCAAAAAAATCGATTTAAATCATGATTTCTGCCATCCCTAGTTCTGTATCTTTTTACAGCCGTTTTCAAAAATTTGTGGATAATGCAGATCATTATACCATGGAGAATTCACGATATTTCTCAGATTTCCAGAGTTAAGACCCGCTCTAATCGGATTTTTCGTTTTCCACATCTTTTTGAACACAGCTGTAATGGAAGCACCGAACATTCCCTACCATAACCCCAACCATATTCTCTCCTGCACCTCCTGTACAGGAGCAGGTTGTTCTTCACCGAAGCTTTTACTTAGTTCGCGAACAAAAACCTTTATGCCCAGGTTTTTGGCTGTAACCGGCTCCTTATCGAGAACCAGCAGACCTTGAAACAGAAGAGATGCAAAAAAGCTGGGCATTATGGAGTATAGCATTGATGCGAAGAAGAAGCGTGAGAATGAAAAATTCGGTAGACACCAAATTTAAATTGTTTTGATTATTACGTTACACCTGATCATCAATTTTTATTGGTAATCAACGTGTCAATGAATATTTTTTAACTAGTCCGGGCATAAAAACTGTCCGTTATCCGTGTTCCTATATTCCGACAATGCACAAAACCTTTTTAATAATTTATGTTCGCAAAATTGTGTAATCCCTTATAAAACACTAGATTCTAAACATTAGTCGAAAATTTAAATTTTAGCCAATCATAGTAACATAAAAAAAAAAGGCCATATCTTATTCGTCGAAATGATAATTGATTAATTCGATTTCCGACAATTTAGAATTTTGCATCTGATTCATTGAGTGAGGTGTTTGGGATCATCTTTAACTATTTATCCGATCTTATAAATCTTTAGATTTGACGCTTCTTAACATCTATATATATAAAAATGGACGCCCATAACTTGGCGCTTTTATCTTATTCTGTCTCGCACTATATAGTGAAAATTTTACCCCCTAATCTTGTTACGGAATGGTGTTTGCCAATAAATGCGATATACTATAAATATTTGTTTTGTACAATAAACGATAACCATAACAGTATAACTGATAAAGATTAACGTTAAATGGCGATAACGTACTGTACAGTACGTAGATGATTTTATACTTGGATTCCATCCGGATTTAACTATAAAAAAACTCAGATGACTATCAAAGATAGGATCGGTTGTCCTATCAGTATAGATCCGTGTGTCGTTACAGGACAGCTTTGAACGTGAATATTTTATAAAAAAAATATTCGGAATTAAACAAAGAAATATACGTACAATCATATCGATACATACTGTATTTTTTAGGCTTGAGCATGCATAAACTTAGATAAATTTAAAAAATTTTAATTTGTTCGGACTGATCCGTGCAAACACGATTTGGGCAATTTGGGCGTCAAAAAATCTATGATAATCTGAGACGGGCCCATTTATCACGTGTTGTTTATAAGTTTTAAAATTAAAATTGAGACTGGCTTCCCTTTCACTAACTAGGATGTCTTGTACTGGTAATGGGTTATCTAATGGCCCGCTTTCACATTTTGCAAATAAGTTCTTTCAAGATTATGGCGTTGCTTCCTCGACAAGTAAATTAATAGAACAAGGAAGAAATACGGCAAATTCCTTTCATTTTTCAAATTTTGAAAGAAAGGGGCAAGAAAATGGTAGAAATAATTATGACGAGGAGTTGAACAGCTGGAACCATTTTATCCAACGGAGTGAAGATAATGGAAACTGGCTCACGACCGAATTCATGATTTCAGAACAGGGAGTAGAAGAAGAGTTTCGACAAGAATGGAGTGATGAGAAATTCACCGAGATTTATATCAAACAACGCGGGCTGGACCGACCTCATAAAGATAAAACATCTTTACAGAATAATTTGATACATCCTTGTGAGAATTCTTTCGTTCAAGAGTTTTTAAGCATTTCGGCGTGCCAAGATTCATCCTCACTCCAATTTTCACTTGAAGAGTATTCTTCGTTTATGACCAACGATCATGCTACCACGTACAATACTCTACATAACGACTTACTCCAAGCTCAAATTTACCTTTTCGATCACCTTCTGTCTGCTATCTTAAAATATCCAATGACAACTACTTGTAGACCCTCCCCAGAAGCGGAATGGGATTGGGCTAGGTTATTTTCATCCTCGAGATGGTGTAGTAATGACAAGGATGACAATGATAAAATTTCAGATAGTGAATATCTACAAAGTATAGCATTAGAAAGATTGCAACTTTTTTTGGGACATATAATTGATTCTGATATCGAGCAGAAGAATAGGATATCATGATAGTGATGGAAATTTAAGAATCATGAATTTTACGCGTTGTAGGACTTTAGTAGGACTTTATAATATCAATCCTGATTTTTTAGTTTTAAAAATTTCACCAGATTCATCATCGCCACCTTTTTTTCTTATTTAAACATAATTTTGCAAATAATTTATAGAACAGAATAATTTAATAGTTAATAGATTGGAAAATATCATTATTTAAATATTTAAACATTCTATTAATCTATTTTTGAAACGCTTGTTGATTGATCACTATTTAAAGCTTTCCGAACGATGTCGGCTAAAATACCACTCAACACCAGGACGCCAATCCATTTATTACTACGGAATTTTCTATCACAATCAACCACGTCGTCAAAATTTACTGTACGGAGTTGCCACGCAAGGTGAGCTCCTGTTCCCAAAACAGAAATCGAATAGAAGGGCCAGCTGTGGTCGTTCATCTGTCCAGCAATTAAGAGAAATGTCACCATTGATCCTGAGAAAAAACTTAACCATAGTCGGGTATTATCTCCGAAAAGGAGGGCGGTTGACTTTATCCCAATCACACTATCAAAGTTCTTATCCTGAACATGAAAAAAAAAAAAGTAATAAATCATAATTTTGCAGGCAAGTTCCTAATTAAAGAAAATTCTAATGAATAATCGCAGTTTTATATGAATTTCTTCACCTGATGCGCATAAATCGTATCATACACCAACGTCCAACAAACACCAGCAAAATATAACGGGAGAGTAACCAACCAATCGTTGTTGCCAATCATCGCTGGCCAACCCAATAATGCACCCCAATTAAAAGCCAATCCTATTATTGATAAATAATTCAATTCAATATCGAATGTGATAAAATTATATATCCATTAAATAACCACGTACCAAGGTAGAGTTGCGGCCAAAAAGTTACGCGTTTCATTAATGGATATATAGAAACAATACTTAAAGATGTCGCTCCGAGAATAATACTATTATTATTATTTTTAACAAACTCGCATTAATCTAACAAATAAAAAAAATTTCATGTATAAGGTAGAGGGGTAAAATGGCGAACGATTTTCGTTATTAAAAAGTTCATGAATATTTAATTAAATATATATCTTAACACTAAATTATGCGATATTACTTAGAGAGCTATGCTTTTTAATTTTTGAGTAAAATGACAAGTGTAAATCGACGACCTTTTTTTTTTGTTATACGTACCCGGCGATTTTTCTTCAGCTAATAATCGCCTTGCGGACTTTTTACCAAGTAAATCGAACTTCACTTTTCAAATACCATTTTTTACCCTCAAATTTTAGTGAAATGATAAATTTCTATTAATAAGTTTGTTCATAATACGCTTTGGCGCAGCAAATTAATTTTTTGTGCCAAGTGTGTAATGAAAAAAACCTATTAATAAAAACATTCGTATTTCACTAAAATTTGAGTAATAAAAAACGGTATTACGAACAACTCTACTTAGTGAAAGAAGTTCGATTTACTTGGTAAAAAAAAAAAATGTTTCATTGTAATATGTCCGATTCGCCATTTTACCAATTTACTGTATATTGCTTTTTGATATACCTATAATAATTTAACTGGGTCAAGACTGTCAATCCCGCTGATAATTGTAATCCTAGAAAAATGAGGGCCTGAAAAGGAGTCACTACTCCTGAAGCAAGTGGTCGAGTCTGTGTCCGTTCTACCTGTTTATCTATTTTCTTATCCCAAAGATCATTGATCGTGCATCCAGCACCTCTCATTATGAATGCTCCAACACCAAAAAGAGTTAACATATAAATAGTCTGAGAAACTGGTAATTGCGCGTGATATGTTGCCATCGTAATACTCCATGCTATAAATAAATAGTCACGTCAAAAAAACAACACATTATTAGCATGAATAATTATATTGACTTACTGCAGGGTAAATATAAGAGCCAAGTTCCTATAGGTTTATCCAAACGTGCAAGAAGAGCATAAGGCACAAGCTTCGGTGGAAGATAAGTATAAAGCCATGAAGAACGCTCTGGTACATTTTGTTTAGAATTTTCTTCGATAGCGGAAGGCTTAGCGCTACTATAGGTTGCCGTTTGCCAATACGAGATTTTCTGGGCACGAATTACGTGAGACAAACGAACGTATAAATTTGAATTGGGCAAATTCCCCAGCCTTCGCGTATAAATGAATGGATATGAACATGTTGTGCACGGAATTTTCTTATTGTCCAACAGAGTTACGCGAAAAACTTTAAAGTTATATGTTTTACTCGCTCTCGAGTTGCGAAAACGTGAAAGAAACATTACTTTTAATACTGCCGTGCCCGTGCCCGTTTTATAAGGCACTTGCAGAAATCCTGAAATTCCAGCTAATAAAATTTCAAGGATCGACAGGATATCGCTGTCATACTGCAAATTTTTTCCTTTCGTGTTTACGCAACTCGATAGCGAGTAAAACATAACTTTAAAGTTTTCCGCATAACAATAAGAAAATTCTGTGCATATGTATTCATATTCATTCATTTATACGCGAAGGTTGAGGAATTTCAATTCAAATTTATACTTTCATGTAATTCGTGCCCATAGAATTTCGCGTTGGCAAACAACAATCTATAGCACTAAGCCTTCCGCTATCTAAAAAATTCCGAAAAAAAATGTACCAGAACGTTCTTCATGGCTTTATATTTACGCACATTTGGATAAACAAACCTCCGGGAACTTGGCTCCTATTTACCCTGTAGTAAGTCAATATAATTATCATGCTAACAATTCACTGTTTTTTTGACATTACCAGATGTCTGATCCGGTCAGAAAAAATAAGTATTTTGGAATATTGTGTACAAAAAATATATTATGCCTACATTATAACGCATTGAATATTGACCAGAAGTATAAAATGCGTCATTTACCATTTTTTTTTAACATTGTAAAATCATATAGACTAGCTCCTCATGTGTCACTACGTGCCACAGTCTATATTATTACGTATATACAAAATATATATGGGGACCCCCACAGCAAAAGGAGGCAGTGGGCAAAAAAATAATAATTTTTTTAAACTCAATTTCTTGAAGAATTAAAGTATTAAAAATACAATTTTTATAAAATTACAAAATCAAAATTTTTTGCCCACTGCCTCCTTTTGCTGTGGGGGTTCCCATATGCAATTAAAATAATCAATTATACGTACGTTATAGTGAATAAAATTATATTGTTATATATATACATAAACTGTATGTATACCTGTTAGATAATATAAGGCCATGCCGGGTCAAAATTTGAAAATTTCAAAAAAAAATTTTTATGTTTTAATAGCCGGGTGGCAAAAATACCATTCTTGATGGATCATCGGTACTGAACTTGATGGAACTAAAAAAAAAATTTATTTGAGTACCGTTCTTGACAGGGTTCTAAAAACGAACCCTAATCCTAATATTTTTCATATACTTTTCTATAGTAGTATAGTATTTTAGAGGTCCTTTTTAGAACCCTATCAAGAATGGTATGCAAATCGATTTTTTTTTTTATACCTATCAAAAACAGTACCGACGATCCATCAAGAATGGTATTTTTGCAGCCGGGTGGGTTTTAAAAAAAAAAATTTTATAAATTTTATAGAATTTTATATATGAAATTTAAAAAAAAAAGCCGGCCGGCCGGGTCTATTTAAAAGTTTCATGTTATGAAAACCAAATAATTAAATTTGTATAGCCTAACTAATAAAATTTCATAAATTATTAACAAAAAAAAAAAAATCAAGTGAATTCTAAGATAATTTTTGAATATATGATTCAAGGTGAAAAATATGGTTTATTTAGATTAGAGTAATTGAATTGAATTGAAGTTTTGTTCTTTTTCATATTACATCTTATTTACTTGACATTGTTATACCTAGAGTTAACCTCTTCAAGCAACTACAAAGAACAGAACAGTTAATCTGTCTCAGACTATTACTTTGGAATTTGGCTAGCTAAAAAGAGTATCTATACAAGACTTATCAAAGAGGTTTTATTAAGGTTTTTATAAAGAAGGCTACAACTCAATTATATGTGAAAATATAAAAGGTTAAAAAATAACTTAACAAATAATAAATTATAAGTCTTATGTAATTACAACAATAATCAGAGATTATGAGTTTTATATGAATATGAATTTGGCAATGTTTATGAAGATATTATTGACAAAGAATAATTATATGAAATAGTTATAAGTTTTACAAAAGAGAATTCAAATTAGTCTATTAAGAGAATTATATATAAAGATATATAATTATTAAAGAAGATTGAAATCTAAAAAAACTACTTTAAAGATAAAACTGTGGCCTTTAAATAACTAACATGACTGTATAATTAATTACAGTGAACAACTATAAATCTATTACTATCTACCAATCTATTAATAACTTATTTTATTATTCTTTTTAACTCTAATTCCTTCATAAATATTATTAAACCTTCTTTGGATCTTTGTCTTCAAAAAGTCTTGATTTATCATGATTAATGGTAATAACTTCATATTTTCAGTTACCTTTGTCTGTATTTGTTTATTTTTTATTCATCTGTATAGATAGTGCAGGCTAAATATAACTTTTTGTTCAAATAGAGATGATAATAAAGCTAATTCAGTAGCAAGATTATTGATAGTAGTTATTAGACTCTTTTAAAACTTCTATTAATATTACAATATGTGCTGATATTAATCTTCACACTATTACTATAAGGACTGATATAGCAGCTAGAAGTGATGTGTATAAGAGTAACAATTAAGATAATAAAGATCTGTATATAATAGTATAAGTATGGTAATAATATGAATATTAGTAGAGTAATTGATCTTTGATCATTAAAGATCAACAGTTTGGGAATTTAAAAAATTAAGTTCTTCTTTAAGCTGCTAATAAGTAACTTGTAATCACTATTATTAGCAGCTTTTAGGGGTAAAGTAGGACCCCAGATATCTTCAATATAGATCATAACTGATCTGCATAAATTTTGGAGTTTTTGCTATCTCTAAAATCAAATAAATTTGCTAAAAATTCAATTATTACATATAAATTTTATAGTAATTTGCTAAAAATTAAATTA